AAACTGGTCAAATGAAGGGCAGAATGGAGTAAACTATCAGTGAAGTCTTAATCATCTTAGAAGAACCTCAAACCTTTATGTCAAACTGATACCACTGACGTAAGCCCAAAGCTCATAGGCACAGACCCTTAGTCTAGGTTCACACCTATGCATGTTGCATTTGAGGTGTTTCTGCATTGCATTTTTGATTCATTTTGTGTTTTTTTTTTTTTTTTTTTTAATTTTATTTGTTTGTCAGATTTTAAACGCAAAAATGCAGCAGAAATGCAGCAAAAACACAATACATGCTTTTCTGTAGCATTCCTATTGAAGTCTATAGAACCAAAAAACTCCATGTTTTGCATTCAAAAAAGTCCCTGACCCTTTCCAAAAAATGCACCGGTGAAATGCGGAGATGTGAACCTGTCCCATAGGAAATCATGTTAAATGGACTGTACTGCATTTCTGAAAAACACAAAACGCAACAGAAAAACGTTTACGTGTGAACCTAGGGTTACTTTGTTGTCTTGTGTACTCATAACACAAGGCTGACCTCACAAATACAGATTGGCCCACCCTATCCAACTCTACTCAATAGAACTGGTTCATTCAACTCTTCATTTGAAAATATTTAATACTTTAAAGTGGATATGTTTTAGTTTGGGCTGTAATTAGTTTTACCATACTTCACTCAGGTATCATCAAATTATGTCAGCAAAAAGATAATATGCCTGAAAATCAAGATGTGCATTAGTATTATAACATTAGACTGTTTAATAACAAATCAGTACTGAATGAAACTCATTGCTAAATGAAACTCACTGTGTCAAGGGTGGCTGGCTTTCACAAAGCATAAAGCTATTGCACTGCTGGATCTGTCTGGTCTCAAGTCAGCAGTTTTTTTTTTTTCTGAATTGCAGTGTGTTGCAATCTATTACATTTCTCAAGGAAAGTGTCATTACAAATAAGGAAAGTGTCATTACAAATGTGGAAAGCACAGGGATGCACTTTAAAAGAATGGTGCTGCTCCTTCATAGTCCTAATAACAGGATGAAATGGATCAGTTACTAAACTATTTTGCTTTTTTGTAGTCAAGAAATGTAAGGTTACTTTCCTACCTATGCAGTACAGCAGAGATCTCCATATCACAAGAATTGCTAAAATAAGCTGCAAATCCTTTGACAGATAAAGCAGTTTTCCTTAAGTGTTTCAACTGTGCATTTCTCTGTCTGTCCAGAATTCAGCCTTACCATTTTAGAATATGTTGTTGAATCTGGGAAAAGGTGTATCCTTGAAAGCATCACGTAACACACCATTTCATAATTAAAAATTTCCAAGATTATCCTAGAATTGTAATACGGTGTGGCCTTGTTTTTGGCAATTGTGCCAGACATGACAGTAACCAAGAAATTGACAATCTAATTGGAATAGGTCACTTTACCATTTTACCTCCACATCATATTGTATCTATAAGACCTTTCTGCCATATGGGCAATTCAAACTTGTATCCCAATTTATGCAAACCCCTAGCTAATGTACCCAAACATATTTAATATAATTGAAAAACAATGCTTATTTTAGAAGTACAGTAACAATTTAAAATAATTTCACTGCACTCTATTATTTTGTCTATTCTGGACTATTCTAATCTCTATTATTCCTAATTTATTTTCCATTTAAAACATAGAAGTAGAATTTGGATAGTTTTTTTCTCACCATTGCAGGGGGGGGGGGGGTAAAGCATTTGGTTAACAAAATAACGACAGACAAGTTTTCACTTTTAGTAACTCCTTTAGAGTAAATAATTCTGTGATTTACAAGGAAACATATTCATAATACTACTACTTAATAAAAAATAGTTAAAGCCAAAGTGTAGCTAAAATTAAAGGATGGAGGAATATTTCATAAAAGAAGAGGAATCTGCACAAGGGACACATCCTATAGACTGTAAGTTATGTCCCTTGTGCTGATTTTTTCTCTTTTTAGTTTTAGCTACACTACATAGACTATTTCCAGCCAATAATGTTTTATAGTTTTGGATAGCATAGGGTAGGGCTGCTGCCCTGGGCTTTGGTAAACAGATCTACCTTCAGTTACTGTAATTGTCACAATGGTTATACTGGATAGGAATTGAGGGAAAATCTCCAACAGAGACACAAACAAAAATAAACAGTTGGGCTGCTGTTGCAGATTTTCTCACATCCTGTTTGGTGAAATGTTGTCAGGGGACAGTGAGTGATGGGAAATCGTGCTATAGATACCTGTAAAAACCTGACAGATTTTAATTTTTTCCCATGCTTTCTAAAGCTAAGAGCCTAGGATTTTCAAAATGAGGTCAACAATGGCATCCTACATATTTCTTTTATTATGAGTATCCTTTAAATCAAAAGTGTTGAGTTTAAAGGGCCTTTTAACCTACTGTATACTGTATGTCGAAAAGCCTTATAAAAAAGAGCTACTGGTCATATTTACATTGTTTAGAAAAGCTCTTTCATATCGTGTATATTGGAGCTGGGGGGAAGGAGATACATTTAGTGTTTAATGTCATTCTGTGTGGGCTTGTGTCAATTTCTTGCAGCTCTGCAATCTAGGCTAATCTGACCCAACTATCAGTTTTCATTACCTAACAAGTGTGGAAGCTGTGTAGAACAGTATCTAGCAGTAGTTGATACAACTTAAAAGGACAGGTTCTCTTGATTTGCTTCTGGTGTTGAAACCAGGTGCTTATCTACTCAGTAGCTACGTTTTGTATAGGGTTCAGTAAACCCTGCTAGCAGCACCTCATCGTTCCATTTATCCTACATTGTATGGGGCTGCAATACACCCAGTGCACATACAGGGGCTTATCCTGTATTCAAAGGCCAACATTTCAGTTTTGAGTATTTTTTTAAAGATAATCTGAATGTTAGCACCTTATTTAAGCCATAAACTAATACCATTCCAATTTAGAATCATTTTATTCTTTTATTGCCAAGCATTGTGTTGGCAACGTATTCCACCCTTAACTCATTATGTTTATAGCAAAGAAGCTGGGAAAGGAACATTCCCGTAAGTGGCATACTATTTGTATTTTACATTTTCAGCTTTTTATCCATTGCTGTTTTATCAACCTATATTCTTTCAACTTCTTTTTACTTTACTTAGACACTGGAAACTATACAACTTAGTGGCTAAATAGGAGGAAAAACTTTGAAATGAAACTTATTGATAAATAGGCCCCAAGACCTATTGAGCACACGAGACATGGCCTGTATAGGACTACATTTTGGTCCTGAAACTTCCTGTCTTTCAGATTTCAGGTACATACTTTAACAAATGATAAAGAACTGGATATTTTTGTAATATAATATGAATGTTTTTCAGTATGCCTATTACTAAGATATCAATGCCATCATTTGCCATAAAATTTAGTCTTTTATGACATCTTTCCCACCACTGTGCCAATCACTGGGCACATCGCCCAACATTTGTTGTACACTGTTGTTGCTTTCTTTTTACATTTGGAGATGAATGTTACCCATCCCTGAGCACTGCCATTTATCAATCAGATCTATTTATCTTTAAATGTAAAATATGAATAAACCATAGTTGGAACTTTTGTGAGTAAATCTTTGTGTCTTGTTATTCCTTTACTGTTTAACAGCATAAATCATTATCTGCTATTGATACAGAATCACTGAGATCACAAAATATATTGTACATAGTGAGTGTTAACTGTAGGTTTGAAGTTTATTTCCGGGTCAGTTCAGACTGACTCCAGTACAATACTAACGAATACTGTAGAATATATATAAAATGTCCAGCAAAGTCATGCCTGTAAAAGAAGGTAAAGACAGACCTTTCCTACTGCCTGTGCTGCTGAAATCTGCTCTGAAGCTGTGAAATTGTCCCCTGAAGTCAGCTGGAAACCGACACTTCCAGGTGTGTCAGTCATCTAGGTCTCCTGCAGCTCTCACTGGTTCCTTCTTCTGAATTCCACACATTACAGTATCTCACATAATGAGTACACCCCTCACATTTTTGTAAATATTTTATTATATCTTTTCATGTGACAACACTGAAGAAATGACACTTTGCTAAAATGTGACGTAGTGAGTGTACAGCTTGTATAAGAGCGTAAATTTGCTGTCCCCTAAAAATAACTCAACACACAGCCATTAATGTCTAAATCGCTGGCAACAAAAGTGAGTACACCCCTAAGTGAAAATGTCCAAATTGGGCCCAAAATCTCAATATTTTGTGTGGCCACCATTATTTTCCAGTACTGCCTTCACCATGGAGTTCACCAGAGCTTTACAGGTTGCCACTGGAGTCCTCTTCCACTGATGACATCAAGGAGCTGGGTGGATGCTCCTCCACCTTCCGTTTGAGGATGCCCCACAGATGCTCAATAGGGTTTAGGTCTGGAGACATGCTTAGCCAGTCCATCACCTATACCCTCAGCTTCTTTAACAAGGCAGTGGTCGTCTTGGAGGTGTGTTTGGGGTCATTATGATGTTGGAATACTGCCCTACGGCCCAGTCTCCGAAGGGAGGGGATCATGCTCTGCTTCAGTATTTCACAGTACATGTTGGCATTCATGGTTCCCTCAATGAACTGTAGTTCCCCAGTGCGGCAGCACTCATGCAGCCCCAGACCATGACACTCATCATCTTTAGAAGAGGCTTCCTTCTGGGATGACAGCCATGCAGACCAATTTGATACAGTGTGCGGCATATGGTCTGAGCACTGACAGGCTGACCCCCACCCCTTCAACCTCGGCAGCAATGCTGGCAGCACTCATATGTCTATTTCCCAAATACAGCCTCTAGATATGATGCACGTGCACTCAACTTCTTTGGCAATGAAATTTAAGGCTCCTTAACAGCCTCCCGCCCGCCATATAGTAAAATGACGGATGCAAGGCGGTTCTCTCGTTCTGGGAGGACGTCATATGATGTCCTCCCATTCTCACTGCACATGCGCGGCTCTGGGAGCACGCAGTGCAGCGATCGGCAGTGCGCTGTGTACCTCGGACACAGCGGATCACTGATCCACGGAAAGAGCCGAAGATGTCAGCTTGGTTATGTGATCAGCTGTCTCCAATCACAGCTGATCACATGTAAACAAGGAAATGCCGGTTATCGGCATTTCTCTCCTCACGAGCTGTCATGCTGACAGCTCGAGAGGAGAGCCGGTAATCGGCATTCCTTGGAGGGGACATTTACACTGATCATCAGAGCACTGATGATCAGTGTGCCCTGATGATCAGTGTAGACCCAGCAGTGCCACCTGTCAGTGTCCATCAGTGCCATGTGTCAGTGCTCATCCATGCCAACTGCCAGTGCCCATCAGTGCCACATTTCAGTGCCTACCAGTGCACATCAATGCCACATATCAGTGCCCATCTGAGCTGCCTTTCAGTGTCACCCATCAGTGCCACCCATCAATGCCAGTCAGTGCCACCTATCAGTGCTGCCAATCAGTGCCACCTATCAGTGCCAGTCAGTGCCACCTATTAGTGCCAGTCAGTGCCGCCTATCAGTGTGCATCGGTGCCGCCTATCAGTGCCTGTCAGTGCTGCCTATCAGTGCCACCTAACAGTGCCAGTCAGTGCCGCCTATCAGTGCCAGTGAGTTCCGCCTATCAGTGCCATATATGAGTGCTGCCTTTCAGTGCCCATCACTGATACCTGTCAATGCCCGTCAGTGTCACCTACCAGTGCCTCCTCATCAGTGCCACCTATCAGTGTCCATCAGTGCAGCCTATCAGTGCCCATCACTGCAGCCTCATTAGCGCACATCAGTGAAGAAGAAAAATCACTTATTTACAAAAATTTGATAACAAAAATCAAGAAAAACTTTTGTTTCTAAATTTTCAGTGGTTTTTGGTTTGTTTAACCACTTGCCTACCAGGCACTTATACCCCCTTATTTACCAGGCCAATTTTCAGCTTTCAGCGCTGCCGCACTTTGATTGACAATTGCGCGGTCATGCAACATTGTACTCATATGAAATTTTGATAATTTTTTCTCACAAATAGAGCTTTCTTTTGGTGGTATTTAATCGCCACTGGGCGCTTTACTTTTTGCGCTATAAATAAAAAAGGTGCAAAAAATTTGAAAAAAAAAGTTTCTTTGTTTCTATTATAAAATTTTTCAAACAGGTAATTTTTCTCCTTCACTGATGTGCGTTGATGAGGCAGCACTGATGGGCACTGATGGGCACTGATAGGCAGCACTAAAGGGCACTGATAGGCAGTACTAATGACGTGGCACGGATAGGCGGCACTGATAGACAGCACTAATGAGGTGTCACGGATAGGCGGCACTAATATGCAGCACTGATAGGCGGCACTGATAGGTGACACTGATGATGGGTACTGATAGACGGCACTGACTGGCATCACTGCTGGGCACTGACTGGCGGCACTGACTGGCACAACCGCTGGGCACTGACTGGTGGCACTGACTGGCAGCACTGCTGGGCTGCACTGGTGAGTGGCACTGGTGGGCAGCACTGGTGGGTGGCACTGGTGGGCACAGGTGGGTGCACTGGTGGGCACTGGGGCACAGGTGGGTGGCACTGCTGGGCACAGGTAGGTGGCACTTCTGGGCACAGTGTGTGACACTGGAGTGGCACAGGTGGATGCACTGCTGGGTACAGGTGGGTGCACTGCTGGGCACAGGTGGGTGATCTGCTGGGCACAGGTGGGCGGAGTTAGTGGGCGCACTGCTGGGCACAGGTGGGCGGAACTTGCGGGTGGCACTGCTGGGTACCGATCATCAGGGCCCTGATGATCGGTGCCAATCCTCGCTACTGACAACTGCCGGTTCTCGAGTACCTTCCTCACAATCTGACAGCGTGAGGAAAGTGCAGCCGAGAACCGGCACTTGCATTTCCCTCTGATCAGCGTGTCATTGGACACCGCTGATCAGGTGGTAAAAGGCCGCTGTGATTGGCCTTTTACCACATCACGTGATCAGCTGTGTCTGTAGGACACAGCGATCACGGAGATCGACGGGTGCGCGCCCCCTGGGGCGCGCAGGAGAGCGCGTTCTGGTGGGACGTCATATGACGTCCACTCAGAACTGGCCGGCCGCAGTGCAGCCGTCATTCGGCTATCTGCAGTCGGCTACTAGTTAAGAAAAAAAAAAAAAAAAACCCAGAGGTGATTAAATACCACCAAAATAAAGCTCTATCTTTCACAAAAAAATTATAAAAATTTCATATGGGTACAGTGTTGCATGACTGTGCAATTGTCATTCAAAGTGTGACAGCGCTGAAAGCCTGGGCAGGAAGGGGGTATAAGTGCCCTGTAGGCTAGTGGTTAAAGAGGTACCTCTTACTATGAACAATGGACAAAGTTTTTGCATGGACACCCTCTCTCTTACAGTGACACACATAAGTACAGTCCCAGTAAAGTCAGCCTGCAGTAAATAATGCTGCTAGTTAGATGGTCAGTCCCAGGGCCGGACTGACAACTCATGGGCCCCCCGGACAATAGAGGATTATGGGGCCCCTGTGTCCTTGCCCAAACTCAAAAAAACCTATGAAAAAAGGTACCAGGGGCATCTCATGGGGCCCCCTACTGACCCCGGGCCCTCAGGCAGTGCCCGAGTTTCCAAATGGTCAGTCCGCCCCTGGTCAGTCCATATGTGCTCAGTCACTGCTATCAGCAACAGATTATTGGCAGCAGTCTCCTCTCATTAGTCCCAGTGATACAGCAACAGGCAGAGGTGTAACTAGAACCTTCAGGCCCCAGTGCAAGAAACCCTGAAGGGCCCCCCTGACCCCCCCGTCCCCTCCTTCCCTTTCTTCTGGACCCAGGGCCCTTCCCTATTAGCCTGGGGCCATTCCCACTGATCCCAGTGGCATGTGGCATGAATTATACCCCCTGCTGAACTTGACCCATTCAAGTGAATGGTGCTGCTCTGCAAGCACGCCGCAACTGCTTTCAATGCACATGGTTGCAGCATGCTAGTGCAGGGTTGAATGGGTTAGAGTAGGTGATGCAGAGGCAATATACCACCTCCTTACTGCCTGTCATATGATCTCTGAAGAGCAATCTGAATGCTGATTGCTCTTCAGTGACCAAAGCACAAACAAGTGAACAAGCCCTTAATTATTTAGAATAGAATTTCATTTATTTACTTTTTTTTACTATGGTTTACTTGCAGTTTGATTATATGTGTTCTTTATATGCAGTTTTCAGTGCACTCCCACTTGTGTGTGTTTTCATGAAAACGCATGTCTTAAAAGAATTCAGAATTCATTAGTAGCATACCTCAAATTGCATGTAAACTGCGCAATCAATCACACTGCGGCCAAACAACAGCACACTGCTATGAGTCCACTATTAGGCTCCTTTTGCATGAGCAGACTGATTGGGTTCGCCTCAAAAATGGAAAGGTGGACCTGATCTGACCCTAAATTCTGCTCTATGGAGTGATTGGTGTAAACAGACATGTGTCCGTTCATACCCACTGACTTTTAAAGGGACACACCATACAACACTGGCACAGTTGCTTACAATATTTATTTAAAAGGCAAAAGACCACTTGCTGTAACTGTGTAAAAAAAAGTGCCAGCAGGAGCTGGGCTTTAAGTTGTTTGTTGCTTACTTAAAGCCAATATCCAGGACAAGATCGGTTTAGATTGGTTCAGCTTATTTATCTCTAAAGCTGTATACACTATGTCCACAGAGCTGCCGAGGATTCTGAAAATCTTTATGATATTTTTGGTAGATTTACAGCTTTCATCTTCTGAGCTGTGCTGCTGTGACTTACCATCTAAGGCATTTTTTTTGCAAAAGCATCTAAACTCAACTCAATAAAAGCCTATGTTCATGCACACATAGGCTTTTATCAGAGTTTAGCAGCAGCAAGGGTTGAGGGCCATTTAAATGTCCCTCTCCTCAATGCAGAAGAATTGCATTCAGGAGAGGAAGGTTTTGACCAAAAACCGCCGAAAGCAGCAAAAATGTGTGTAAACCGTGTTTTAGTGCTTGGGCGTTTATTCATTTCAATAGCAAGTACTCTGACCAATGAAATGAATAGACAACAAAGTGCTAAACGCAGTACCGCATTTGCACACATTTTTGCTCCGTTTACCATTTTTTTGCTGCCAGTAGAGTTAATGTCTACAGCAGTTCTAGTAGACATGTAGCCTAATAAAGAGCAGAAGTAGAGAGAGAACCAGATGTTGCTGGTCTGAAGTTCCACTTGCAAAGAGAAAGAGGCAGGGTGTGCAGCAACCCCCCATGATAGCGAGGTGGTGCAGGAGCAGAAAGCGCTCAAGTCATACAGGTGTGGTAGCTCCATAATAGGTGTGTCAGTGAATGACTAAATTTGGCTCCAAGATAAAATTTAACCCCAGCCATCCTAGTTCCCTGATATGACCACTGGAAGGGTGGTTGGTAGCTCCACATACACCCCATTGAGGTTCTAAAGAAAGAGGGGCACTATGAGCTGAATGTATCAGGAGCATTTGTGCCAGTTTCCAATTAACTGAAGGTAGCTGCATATAGCCCAATCATAATGATTAAGGAAGCCTATGTCCTGTATTGTATGACTTGAAAGCATTCCTGTAAATTTGCTAGAAGTTGGCAGGCTTTGTTTCTGCTTGTATTTCTAATCTCATCCTCTAGGTGGCAACCAAGTCCCTGGATTGACCACAACTGTGACAAATCTGAACCCTTTTTTCTGGTTACATTGAAAATCAGAACAAGAATTATCTTCCTACAACCACCTCTGAATTAAACAATACAAAAGCTCATGGTTATGACACCATTAACTATTTGCTGCCCAAAGATGTCCTTGAGTCTGAACTGTGTTTTAAAGTCCTGGCGACCTACTTTTATTTAAACAAATGAAAAGAAAAGTCCACATCACGTTGCCCATGCAGGGGTTTCATCTGCACAAAGCAAACAGTCAACCAAAAAATGCCAAGCCACTCATCAGCGGCATCGCTGCTTTCTTTAGTTTGGTCTCTTAAGCCTTTCTCACCTATGTCCTCTTGGTTCAGTCAGATGCAGCACCCCTGCTACATGGGCCCACTCTAGGGTTGCCACCTGGGGCTGATTAAGGTGGTAATTAAACTCACTTAGGTCTTTATCTGCAATAAATTAGCCTCACAACCTGTGTAATTAATATGTGTTTTGTTTTAAAGGGATGAGCTGGCAACCCTAGCCCACTCCCTGGCCTCTCAATATGATGTCTTCGTGCAGCTGTCCTGACTCTCCCAGTCCTGTAGACATGGAATCCCCCCAACATGGGCTGCAGTATCCCGTAGGAATGTACACCCTCCCTGGCTGGAGCACACAGCGCTCCCCTGAATGGGTTCTGTCTCCAAAATGGGAGCCCTGAGCTATGCTTAGGCTTGGCTTATAATGAGCATGCACACCTATATGCCCAAACAACCTGCAGGTCTCCAATAAGACCTTAACACAGTATTGCAGACTTTTTCCCATCTATTCGAAGCTTCCAAGCTTCACACCCTGATTCTGGATTGTCAAACCCGGAGAAAACTGAAATCCCAGTCTTCTCCATTGCACTCTGCCTTAGTGCAAATGCTGTGTCCTTCCTATATCTATTTCCTAAGCTCACATTGTGGCAGGGCCTCACAATGTCACATTATTTGCAAACGGTTAATATTCTAGACACTGGTTTTAAAAGTATGGCATGATGAAGAAATCAATAAATGACTTGGCCACTAGAGAGGGCTATACCACACAGCAAAATACTCAGCCAAGCACAGCCAGGAGCTAAATGCAGCATGTGTATATATATATATAGAGAGAGAGAGAGAGAAAAGGAGTAGCATTTTTTTGGCCACAGCTTTGGGTATAACTCCAAAATTATAATATAAAGCAAGTATGTAGTTATAGATAAGGCAATTTTTTTTTTGTTTTAAATTGAGAGGGATTAGAACAACTCTCAGGTTTTTACTGTTGTCTGTGTCCCCATTAGGGAGATTCACCTTCTATAGTTTCTAACTGAAATAACATATAAAGCCATTTATAACTCTGATCCAAATTACATCACCAATCTTTTCTCCAAATATCACCCAAACTGTACTCTCCGCTCCTCGCAATACCTCCTGCTCTCTAGCTCCCTTGTCTCCTCCTCCCATGCTCGTCTCCAGGACTTCTCCAGAGCTTCCTCCATCCTCTGGAACCTTCTACCCCAATTTATCAGACTATCGCCTACTCTGCTCACTTTTAAACGATCTCTAAAAACCTATCTCTTCGGGGAAGCCTATCCTGCCCTCAGCTAATAATGGAATCTTCTACTCCTCCTACCAGTCCATCCCCCACAGTTATTACCTTTTGTACCACTAGCCCCTCCCTCTTAGATTGTAAGCTCCAAGAAGCAGGGCCCTCCTAACCCCTCCTGTTTTGAACTGTATTGTTGTTGTATTGTCTCCCATTATATTGTAAAGCGCTGAGCAAACTGTTGGCGCTATATAAATCCTGTATAATAATAAAAAAAGTGAAATAAAACGCCAAATTTTGAGTGGTCATGAGAACAGGATAGGTAACAAAGGTGAAAAAACTACAATGCTGCCTGTTACTACTAATGTGGGAAAGAAAAGAAGGTAGGGATGTGGGGGGAAAGTAAATATAGAAGATACTATTATACTGATCCC